TATGCTAACGCTAGCCAGGCTATGTTTTGGTAAACAAATGCACTTCCTGAACTGGTTTCGTGATATGCACCGTACAGCGTTTAAACAAAGTACCTTTACCACATCTTATTAAACACACAACATTATACGGAACCCAATATCTACACAATGTTGGTGCTTTGCTTTCTGCTATATCATATTTAAAAACAAAAAGTAATTCGCGAGTTCACTCTCACCCTTCAGCCATCTTCAGATGATGACATCATCAGTATTTACTGAACCCTAACCCCAGCTGCATGGCGTTGAAAAACAAACACGTGATGCAGTATGTCTTCCTTCCTGCGTAATACAGGTAACCACATTCACCTATAACAAAGTGTAATCACTATTTTAAATGGCGTATTTTACAGTTTATAACCACCTAATGTTTTACAGCCTTTTTTTTATCTATGGTGGCTGCAGAGGACCAAATTGGACGGCTACGCTACAGAATAGGCAAGTTCGTTTATGTAATGTTAGCATTTAAGCAACAAAGTAACTGAAAGTGCTTTACCTTAAACATAAAAATCTTCTACCAAAGTGCAAAAGACAAACAACAAAGGGACATTGAAGTAAAACGCAAAATAGTAATTAAAAAGCCAAGAGAACAGAACATTTAAACAAGCTCAAATAGAATAAGACATGTATTAAAATACAAGATTAGAGGTTGCAGTATAAGATAATAATACTATATTGATTTTGAGCAATAAAGCTGCATGTAGAAAAGTATTTCAGTTAATAGAACTGCCAGTTGTTGCAGTTTTCTGAGAAGTTATTTTGTGTGTGCTTTAGTGGCAAAGGATACTAAAAGCACTGTGGGGTACATGGGCTTACTTAAAGAATGAAAACACTGTCATTTGTTCTCAATTGTTTCAATGTATTTTTAGAAGCAAGTGGTAACCAATCTTTTTTAGTGCCTTCATACAGATTTTAAGGTCAGAGCTTTTGTACCTTTGTATATTGATGGCAGACCCAACAGAAACATATTTGTCCATATGCCTTGCAGTCTAAAGGAAAAGAGAACAGTGTGAAAATTAAAGTAAATGCATTGCGATGAAAAATAATGAACACTGGCTCCATAGGGGAGGCTAACGCTTTGCCCATATGCAAGTTGTTTTCTTCTAATTAAACCTCATTTAACCAATGAGCTGCGTATGAAATCAAACAAATGAATCCAGACTACAGCTCTCCTTCCTGAGCCATTAGGTTGGCTAATCAGTGTTTAGCAATTCCAACCTGAATCCCCTCATCAATCTCCTGCTCTGAGTGCATCTGTGGGTGTGCATGTGAGCCTATGTGCATGTCGCTTTGCTTATGGGTGTTGACCTCCAGCAGCTGTGCTTTCCCCTCATCAGTATTCTGGGTTTAAAGGGGGTTGTAAGCTTTACAGAGCACAAAATGAAAAAGAACAGGCAACAAGCCCCTGGAAGTGGGTTCTCCTTAATTGAAGTTCCCCCTTATCCAGACGCTGCACAATGTGTGCGTATGTCCCTCAATATGTCTGCTCTGTCCTGCACCTCAATCCACTTAATTGGGTCTTTCAGTTTCCTAATTAACTCTGTCAATGCAAGTTGAGCTGAGCCAAGTTGGGACAAGCACTCCTCTATTGATCAGTATCTGAAGCAGTTATCTTATCCATCTGTCTACATGGCCCTGGGCTTTGCCGTTGCATTAGATTTAATGCACAAAGGGGTAAATGTGTGGTATCATCACCTCATCCCTTGTGTTGTTTAAAACATTGTTAAGCTCCTTGTTCTGCTGATAAGCAACTAAGTAAATTCAATTTGTTTTAAAGTATCAAGGCTTTGGATTTCTATCTGTAGATGCAGTGGTTTGTAAAGGAAATCGTGTCCTATTGTTGGTTATAAACTGTTACTCCCCTGTGGAAAAATTTAATTTCCACATTAAATACTAAAGCGCTGTGGTAAACCGTAACTTGCTTTATTTACCTACAATTTATTTACGCTTTGGTAGTGTATATAGTACACCAGTAGTACACTACCAAAGTAGTAGTTTCAAGTATGTTCTCTTCCATATTAAACTACTTTCTACTTCTACTTCACTTTTTTAGATGTGGATAATGTACTTTTTTATTTATTCCTTCATTTTTTACCACAAAGATCTATGTGCGGGAAAGTACGGAAGAGGATTAGGGCCACATGTAAATTTTGACCTTAATCTCAGAACTCACTTTTTTAAAACTTTTGGTCAGATCTCATCTTTTATTCATGTGGCCCTTGTCCTATTAAGTACTTATGGAATATATTGTATAGAAATTATATTTGTGGAATGTTTTAAACCAGTTGAAACATTGTCACAACAACACAATATTTTAAGGACTCAATTATGGACAGAGATGGAGATTCAACTTCCCAACATTTAAAGGTAGGGTAGGTAAGTTTGAGAAACCGGCTCGAGATACACATTTTGTTATATTCCATGGAATGCTCTTAACATCCCGATAGCAATGAATATCTTAAGTGCTTTGACAAAAAATCCATTAAAAAAATTCATGTGTGGAAGCCGTAATACTGTAAAAAGTACGACCAATCATTTTAGCCGGCCCGGCTAAAATAACTGGATGGCCTACCTGCCTGTCAGCCTTCCATCTGTGCACAAACTTATCTCTTGCCCTCATTGGTCATGTGCGCGTTCGTGTGTGTTGGAGGAGGGGCTCTATAAGGAAGTAGCAGATTTTCTCCGGTTGTGTATTTTCAAATTCTAGCGATCTCGAGCCGGTTTCTCTAACTTACCCTACCTTTAATACATTCAAACTCCTACCAGGCCAACTACCAGAAAAAGTAGTGAATCTGTGGAGATATATATATGGCACAATAAAAAGGGCCATTTGGCAAAGTATTTACTTTTAATACTTTAAATACACTTTGCTGATCATACATCTGTATTTTTACATAAGCAGGAGTTTGAATGCAGGACTATTCATGTTATCTTTTATTGCAGTACTGCTGCTTTTACTTGACGTTATGATGATTATGACTTAAACCAGAGCTGCCACTGCTGGTTAGCGTATGCTAAAGAGCACCATGATGACAGCAGAGGCTGACCATAATGGCACACAGAGGACCTGTCCATATTGTATGATTTAAGAAGCATATCCATTACACATCACACCCACTCCCACACTCACACACACATGCTCCAGACCACTGATACCACACCGTGGGTTAACACCATCTGGTGCTGATCAGGAAACACCAGCTTTGCACAAGTCAGTGTCTCTAATTATCTACCTCCAGCAAAGGGAGGCCGATCCCCGCTAATCTCCACAATGTGTTCTGCTTCCCATTCCCACCTGTGCCCGAGTGAAGGGGGGCCGTGTGGGAGGACCCGGGATCTCTGTGTCAAGGGACCAGGGACCAGGTGACGCTGCAGCGCCGGTCCCCACGACAGAAGCTCCGTCGCTTGGTTTGGCTGGCAGCTGCCTCCCCCCACTGAGACATCCCACAGCTGACAATCCCAAGTACTGACAGGGGCTCTTTCAGTGTCAATGGCCTCATATATTAGAGCTAACCGCCTTTGTGGCGAGAGAGGGTGTCAGGCCTTTTGGCCCGACAGCGCTTGTTACCATGATGAAATGTAGATTGAATGGAGGGGGTCTGTGTCTCAGGCACGAGAGCTTGGACTCCCCCGGCCTTTTGTGTCCCACGCATGGCTATTGTTCGGACCCATTCAGGGCTCTCAGGAGGAGGAGGTGGGGTAAAGAGGGAGGTGGGTGAGAATGAGTTACATCTCTTCATTTCTCCCCTGATCCCCGGCTCATCTGTCAGCCGTGGGAGGATAAGCATGTATTTTACACGCTTGATTTGTTGCTAAGTGAGGGCCAGCCATTGTCAGGTTGTTTGACTAAATCATGTTCATGGCAATCAGTGTGTGTTATGTTTGTGCTTAGCGGATTAATCATTGTTATGAATCAGCTAAATACTTGATTTTAAACACAATAACATTTGTGTTGTGAAAGTATGTGGATATATTTTATCAACAGCTTAAAGAAAAACTCTGAGCATATATATACACTTTTTTTTTTAAGGCTGACCGCATTATGTCCCCTGCTTAAAGTTTGCCCTTTGTGTGCCTGTATCCATGTTCTTATGAGACAGAGACAAATCGTTGGCCAGAGCTAAGGACATGGCTCTGTCCCTCGCCCGCGTCAAACAAAAGTGACGCGCCTTCCTGGCGCCTGTGTCGTCCTTTCATCTCTTACTCCCTGTTGAGGTGAAGATGGATGGTCCCCTGGCTCCAGAACACCACATTCAGCCTCTGTGCTGGCACATTGTCTCATCCTTCTGTCCCTCTTTAGCTCTTTAGAGGTTAGGCTGTCCAAGGCTGGTTAGCAACCAATGACAGCCCTTCCTAGATATCCATTTTTACATTGCCCTTCTGTCCCCTTAACACAAATCAAACCCCTTCTGTTTAGTTTAAGAAGATGTGGCTCTATTGTTTTCATACAGCTGCTGTGTTTTTTTAGTATATGTCTAGAACCCTTTAAGACTTAAGAAAGAAATAGTCCCTGGCAGATATTGCTTCTTTTTTACACGTATGACTATAAAAACAACTGCAGTCAGGGAAAAATAAATATAGATCACAGTATATCACAGAAAATAAGTAGGCAAACAAGAGTTCTTATTATAACAAAACTTTAATTTAGGAAAATAGAAATCCTGCAATACAATAATAGGCACCGGTTCCATCTCTGACAATATCTCATCACCACAGATATCAGATAAATTACAGTTTTTGCCACTGGTAAAAAACCTGCGTGTACATAGAATATTTCTGTATAAACAATGCAGAAGTGTAATTTGATAGAAAAAAGCAGCAGTTGGCATGGCAGAATATATATACAGTATTTACAAGCTCTGGCACCAGCAATCATTTTAAGAGTTCATGTAACAATCTCCTCTGTGCTGCTTTAGTCATTGTGATGATCCCAGCAACAGAGGTTGTTTTTTTAAGAGTCCAGCTCACTTGCTCAGAGACAGGCTGTGTAACGTGGAGGTGGGTAAAGGCTGGCAGAGTGAGCAGGGGCAGGGCATGCCGGGGAAGTGCCTGTAGCACCCGGCCAGGTGGAGGGGGTCCTTCATAAGGCTCTGCACCGGTGCATGGAAACCCAGGAAGCCTGCTGATGGAGGCGAGTGCAGGGCCGTGGCGTGAGAAGAGTGATGCTGCAGAGCTGAAGGGGCGCTGGCCGCCAGAGTGTGCAGAGAGTGGGCCAGATGATGCAGAGGGTGGTGGGCAGTTGGGGCCGCAGGGGTGATAGCAGGGTGGGCAGCGGTGCGGCTCTGGGCGGCAGCACTTCCTCCGTAAACATCCCCCACCAACTTCTTCATCTCGTCCAAGGAGCCGGACAGCATGAGGATGTAGTTGCGAGCTAACATCAAGGTGGAGATCTTGGACAGCTTGCGGACTGAAGGCCCGTGAGCGTAGGGCATGACCTCTCTCAGGCTGTCCATGGCCGTGTTCAGATCGTGCATCCTCTTGCGCTCCCGGCTGTTCACTTTCAGTCTCAGGTCTTGGGTGTCAATCTTGCTGAGATCGGTCCCGGCCTGGGTCTGTCCGTCCACCGTCCTGTCCTGGCCGGCCTCGCTGTCCTCTCTGTTCTCTTGGCAGTATGACTGGAACATCTTGTTGGAGAAAAAGCTCCCAGCGTGGTCATCCACCACCAGGTCGGGGGAGGAGGAGCGGCTGCAGTTGGAGCCACAGTCAGAACCCATTGCAATTTAATGCGTTTAAAGTGTTGCACAAATCAAAAAAGTGGTGCAAAAACAGTACGCTGAATGCTTGGAGCGTGAGTTTAAATTCTACAGATGCTTCCTTAGCTTTAAGCGATTCCAGTTGCCTGTGTTTCTCTCAGAGTTTGTGCCGTTGAGTCTGTTGATCAGTCTGTCCCCAGTAGTGAGTCTGTCTAAACTGTCACCCTGTGGGCCCACTGGGGTGTATTTATACCGCCAGCATAACAAAGGAACAATAAAGCTGCATAATGAGACACTTAGAGCCACAGCCAATTGCAGAAGGGACACACTTTCACCCCCCCTCTCACACCTCCTTCCTGCAGCCCCCACTTCACCTTCCCACACCCACGTTTTAACACCCCCAGCCCTCATGAACCCCCTAAACATTAACCTAAACAGGGATATGTTCACATGTTGTGTTAAGCTGCACAGAGAGTATGCTGAAACTTGTGTACAAGTTGACTGTTCTTAATTCACCGGTTCATTTTGAGAGTTTGGGCTATTTTGCTTCCTTAACATGTTCTCTTTCAGGCGAGTGGAAAGAAAATATAAAAGTACATAAGTGTTCATTTTACTAACCCTGCCTATTTGCGTCTGTAGATTTCCTCTAATTTCAGCAGAAGTCTCATAAGGTATTAGATAATACATCACTTGCACATAACCAAAACGTTAAATACAACTTTTTAAACAAATAAAGATTGTCGTTGTAAGAAATCAATTAGGGTAGTTTAATGATGATACTGCATCTGTAAGTTATTTAGTCTTTACCCTTCTCACGTAGCAGTAGTGTCCTGCAAAATCCATGGAATTCTATAATACATTTAATCAAAGGCCGATTTCTTGAAAGTACCAAATTTAAGTTTTTTGGAAAACATGGATCTTTTTAATGATTTGTTTTGACAGTATTTTCTGATTCATGGAGTGATACGAACAGACATCGGATATTTCTTCTGTAAAAACCATTGACTCTCAACACAATGAACCTGAAATGTAAACCTAACTTCATCCAATTTCCTGTGTCCCTAAAAATGTATACTAATAAGCATCTCAGAAAACTTTTTATACGAAAAAGAATTGTCCTGAAGTAATCCACTCTGGAAATGTCATGTTGTAGTAGTGTCCTGCAGAATGCATGGAATTCTACAATACATTTAATCAAAGGCTGATTTCTCAAAAGTACCACATTTTTGTTTTTGGAAAACTGGAATCCAGAATATTTGTAATGAGTTGTTTTGACAAGGAGTGATATGAAGAGATATCGGAAATGTCCTCTGTAAAACAATATGTCAACACAATGAACCTGACATTTAAAAAAAAACCTAACTTCATCCAATTTCACATATGTGCCCCTAAAAAGAGTATACTAATAAGCACATATTCAGGAAGATGAAGCCTCATTTGCAAATGTTTATGTAACATTTCAGAAAACTTTTTACAAAAAAGAATTGTCCTGTTATCAACAGTTTATAGTTATCAACTCTTGACATGTCGTGGTGATTACCTTATTCACCTGGTTTGTCTCCTTTTAGAGATAGTGGTTACAGTGCATGAACTTAAATGTTGATCAAAAGCTACATTTAGCAAGTAGGCAGATTATGTATTTTGTATTGCAATACTGCAGAGAAGCTTCATATTATGTATCCTGATGTGAAATGAATAGTATTGTTCCCCCCTAAGTTGCTTAACTCACCATATTCTGAGTTACCAAAAGTGAGAGTGTAAACCAGAGATCTGCTTAAGGGGGGAAAAAAGCCCACATGTTTATTGCCCTATTCCATAATACCAGATATATGATGCCTTCGAGGCCTTATTTACATATGGTATCCATGAGACACTTTGGAGAAAGGTATGAAGCACCATATGAGGTACTTCAACGTGTAAAGAGCAGCGTTAATGGCAGACTAGGTACAATTCAACCAGGAGCCCAAGACAAAAGAGGTCAGATAAATTTGACTTGGCTCCCCAAACAGTCTGTGAAATCACATCACTATCACTGGAAGGGGGTCCTTCGGATGGGGAGGAGGTAGTTAAAAAGATACTAAAGAGTGGGCGCGCTATTGTCTTCCCCTAATTCAACCGTAAAGCTACTAGCACTTTCTCAGGTTTTGTGTTTTCTGTCTCTTTATATTAAACAGCGGCTGTCAGGAACACCAGACAAACTTATCTCAAATAGAGAAGTTTCCATTCATGACATCTAAATTCCTGCCGTGATTAATGTCGTGCATGACTCTGTTGATCTAATCCTGGGGCTGGATCGAGCTGACTTTTCAAAAGCTCTCTCTCTGCGGTGGATTTCTCCACTCGGCTCTGGAATTTCCTGCCGCCTTCTGCCAAGCAAAGCCTCAGTGAGGCAGCGCTAGGGTCAGAAGTTTGGGAATACAATAATACTCATGTGCTACACTATTCGTGGGAGCAAGAGAGGATTGGAAAAACATTCAACCTTGGATGCAGAATTGATTTTGGCCTGGAGCATAATAATGGCAAGGCGATCAACATTCAAGACAGCATTCTCCAGGCGTCATAAAGAATGTGCTGTGTTTCCATAATCTTTCCTTGGTGCACCCGCTGGTTTATATTTACCCAACAGTATGATGTTCTTCTCCAGTCGTGGCAGCTTAGTGCAGCTTCGTGATAGTTCTAAAAAACAGGGATACTATTGACTTGCATTGAAAAATATGAAGGAGCATACACACTTTTCAGTAGAGAGAACATTCTGTAATTTACTATACTTTTTACTTAAAACAAATGATACTTATTCCAATTCATCACCTAATATTTTTGCATACCCAACTAAGTTAATCTTGGTTCGATCACAACACATCCATCCATAGGCAACATTTCCATTTGTTCTCAACAAAATTATGTCATCTGAACAGGAATGTAGATGACAAAATTCGCTCAAAGACCAGAATGCCTTATGAAATGTCTTGTAGCACTCACTCATTGATTTTTTTATTGTTTAGAAAAACACAAGCAAACAATAAGTGCCCAGATTTCAGTTCTCTGTCCAACCAAACCCATGCAGAAAATAGCATGCACACACAGAACAAAATAATGATAATTTAAAATATATTTATTAATTAAATACAAATAGACTTCTTCAAAGGATTTTTTATATATATATAATAAATAAAATAACATGTGAAAAACTCTGCTTCAAGTTGTTTGTTTTCTGTCATGGGTTTTTATTTTTTACATGTACTTTTCAGAGGCCTACAGGCTGATGATGTCATATATAGACAATCAGTCAGGAACAACAGATTATATGTTTCCTTTAAATCCTTTGCCACATGGAATAAATAGCAGCCTTTTTTATTGTGTGAAACAGCTCCATATTTCTTTACCTGTGTGTTTGAATTGTCATGGACTTGCATTGAAGCTCACACTGCTCTTCACCTTGCTGTGTGTGCATTCTCAAAGTAGGACAATCTTTTTGACCCGCAGAAAGTTAGGATTGGGAATCAAGAGGGCTCTCAGGACCCCCCACCACCGCTCCATGAGGGGGCCCAGCAGGGTGTTTTGGCTCGGCTAACATTCAGTGATATTATAATTGGAGAACCTCGATAGCCAACATGGGCCATTTATAAGGAGCATATGGATTTCCCCATCGTTAGGCTCCGGGCCAACATGGCTGCTGGACTCTCCTCTGCTAATTGGGTCAGGTCCTAATTAACTGCCTTGGACACAATGCTCCAGTTTTCATTCTTGTCTGGTCTTTCGGAGCTTTTAATTGCTGGTTCTGTGCCATTGTGTTCTCCGTTATCCAAAGAGAAGAAAAGCGATCAATAATGTTTCCTCAGTGGTAGAAGTAAATGATATATAAATGCAGGGGAAATGTGTCAAGACGGCTCATTAACTGTGCATGAAGTTAGATTAGTGAGAGTGTCAGTCAAATAAACTGATGAAAGTAATGGGAAACAGCTCAGAGCAGTGTATTAATAAAAGTAAAATCACTAGGAACACATATAGGGACCTTTGCTAGGGGCTCTAAATGAATAAAAGGGGTGTAATCACTCCTTCTCTTACTCCATCACTATATGTATGAACCAGATAAATCCCATTCTCCTGCTCTTTCGTATTCTTATTCATGTGTTTACAGAGGCAACGGGCCACACAGAGAGACGCAAGGATCTCCAAGCTTTGTATCTTACAATTGAAAGCGTAGCCACCCTCCATGTTTCAACATAATCCTTCAATTTTTAACCCTGCATCAGAGTGTTTGACTTTCTTCTCTGGACGCCACCTTTCAGGACCCTTCATCCAATTCAAGAGCTTTTTTTTTTTAGGCTTTAGAGACCCCCTTTCTGCTGCCCCACTGGGTACACTCCAATGAAAGTGCTCAGGTGACCAGAAAATGAGGGCATTATCACAGGCATATGCTTGTAGCGACAGAGGATCAGGCCAGCTTATAGGGCCTATCATGGCTCAATAAAGCGCTGAGCTGAAGAGCAAACCTGCGCCGTGTACCGTTAGGCTTCCTTCTTTCTCAGCTGGTCATTGTTTAACAGGATCAGTGGCGAGATCTTCTGTACACCCACACTGAGCTTTAATCTGGGCATGTGGTGGGGAGCAGACCCCATAGAGGACGCACAGCAGCCTTTGTTTACCACCATTTTTCTCTTTTCGCTTGATATCGAGGCTCTGAGATGGAAATCATATTAGCAGGGGAAGTGATCAGATATGTGGAATTGGTTTGCTGCATCTATGGATCTATATGTTTCCCTCTGAGTACCGGTGTCTGGACAGGGAGATATAAAATTGTTCCACAAAGTGTCTGTACGGGCCGACAAGTGTTTCTGAGAACAGGGAGTGCTGCCCTTTGTTATCTCTCACCGCTGGGACAAACTGCTCGGTGATTTATTCATTTACACCGCCTGAAACAATTGCATTATCTCGGCCGCAACAAAGAGACACAAAGGCGCTATGAAAATCCTCTAGGATGTTTATGAGTCACTAAAGAGTCCAATAACTTTCCCCTTCAT